TGCAAAATTTTTAAGAGAGCAGCAAGAGGAACATAAACATTTTTGAGGGATTGTGCGAAAAGTCTAGCAATTAACTGATAAGAATACAATACGATTATAGAAAAATAACAATAATATGGAATACATGATTGTATATAGGAATGTAATTGTCATGCTTTTGCTCGGATTAAGTCATCATTGAATTTACTGAACGCGTCTTTATCCATATCATATAACTTACCCCAACTGGCGGGCGTACGTCCCAAATATGTGCCATCTTTACTGTTGTAGAGTATCTGACCGAATGATTGTTTCTCTTTGGGTGAATAAAATTGGAATTCTGTTGGTGTAAATTTGGTACTGGTATCGTTCTTCTTTGACATTTTCTATAAAAAGGTGTTTATTGGTTTTTTTTTTATACGATGCCAGGTGTTTTGCTTACTGTATTGATGTATTTTTTTTGTTTTATTATATTTTCTATTTCTTTTGTCTTTTATATTAGAAAAAAATAAATAAATAAAAATAAAGCAAAATATTTTGTTTTCTTTTACAAAATCACAAAACGTTGCAAAGAAAAATAGCGCGGCTTACACTCTAAAATAGAGCAGAATATATTCCTATAATGTTCAAAAACAAAAACACACCTTTTTTCATTAGTAAAACAATAAAGTTCTCCTTTATGTATTATATAAGTATGAGTGAAATTTTTTTTTAAAGTTTATTTTCCTCTCCTCCTCTTAATTTTTGAACATATTCTGTAGAGAATTTATATAAAATTTTTTAAGTAATTTTTTAACTATGCATTACTCAGTAAAAAAGAAATTCTTTTTTTTTTTTTGTATTTATAGTCGCTTTGATTATAAAAACAATAAAAAAAGAATATATAGAAGAAAAAAACAAACTAAATAAAAATAAAAAAAATACAAATACGCGTCTTTTTTGTTTTTGTTTTTTTTTTTTTTTTTTTTGCTGTCAGTAATATTTGCACAATTTTTTAACAAATTTATTTTAAAGAAATACGCACACACGCACGTTTTCCATACCTCCGTTTCTTAATGCGCAAACGTGCGATTATACAAATATATATAGAAATGAAAAATTATTTAAAAAAAAAAAAACAGAAATAAATTTTCTTTCTTGTAAAAATACTTTGCAATCGAAAATTTTATTAAAACGCCAAAAATAGCAAATAACTCCGTTTGCCTCGATTCACGCACGTTATGCCGTTCACGCTGTAAGATCACTGACTAAACTCTTGTCGAAATCCACAACAGTAAATAACCGCAACGAATACGAACAACAAGTAAATGATTTTCATCGCCGCAATAGTGACTGGGGTGCTCTTACTATATATGTATGTAAAAAAAAAAAAATAAAAATAAAAATAAAAAATCAAAATATATATATATACATATATATATATCGAAAAGAAACTCTCTGATGGAGATTGCATGAGGGTTTTACTTAAAAATCGAAATTCACTACATTTACATTACAATTGCGTCATAAGTGCAAACAGCATAAGTGGAATCTAAACATGAATTATATGTTTTCGTCATATTATTTATACTTCTCTTTAAAAGTAATTAATTTATGTTTTAGTTTTTTTTCTTTTTTTTTTTTCAACAAAACAATTTGTATGTTAAGAAGAGATGGAAAAAGAGAGAGAGAGAGAGAGAGAGAGAGAGAGATTTGAGTTCCAGAACGCGATACTTCGCTTCTACTATCAGTTTGTTCTCAATTATAGATTTCCTTTCTTGTAGCTTTGTAGCAATCGCTCTCTCCCTAATTCAGATAAAATTTCATTTTAGCGTTAGTTATATGTTAAGGATATAAATTTGTTTGTGTGGAATTCTAATATTTCATGTGAAGACAAATTTTATTTGCTTTTATAGCAACTACCACCAATAACTAAACTGGTTAAGTGAATAAATTTGCCCCGTTTGTAACATCTAAACATTAGGGCTAGAAGAATGTGAGACTCAGCTCAGTTTAATCATATTAAGTCGGTCGTCTTCATTCCTTTAAAGTTCTGTTTCTATAAAAATTTATACCTCTTTGAGTTGCTTTACATTCTTCTGTCCTTCTTTGCGGTAAATATATAATGTATAGTCGCCCTTTATAATAATAATCATTTTTATTTGTATTATTTTCTTTGACCACTCTTTTACTTGACCACCTTAAATGATATGATTCTACATGTTAAGTTGGAAAGGTAATGCTATTATTAAATACCATGAATGAAATGTGCCGAATACACTTAGCATAAAGCTGAACGCTTTCGCTGTAATTGTTGCATTGGCGCACTAACGAGCAGCCGAAAATAACGTAATTGCACTTGATATCACTAAATAGGTGTCGGTGCCGCCCATTAAGATAATACCTTGGGAATATAGACATCAAGTTTGGAGTTGAATTAAAATCCATTAATACTACTACTACTACCGTTGCGTCTGCGTTTATCGATGAGTTAAGAAAAAAGAGGAAAGTCTAGTGGATGTCTAGGGATGTCATAAATAAGGAAACAAGCCCACAACAATTCCAAAACCTGAAGAATGTAGCAAGTATAAAGTTAGACGCTTTAGGCATAAGCATGAGCAACTGAAAGATAGCGTAAGTGTAGATATTATCACTAGGTATCGATACAATAGCGCCGATTGGAATAATTGGAATATAGAGAACAAGCTTAGCGTTGAATTAAAATCCATTAAGATTGCGTTTATCGATTAGTTTAAAAAAAAAATGAGGAAAGGCCCTATACTAAGAAATAACATTAAATCGACTACGATATTCGATTGCAAGATAGAAAGCAAATCTTTCTGATAATCCATTCATTATTGTTCCCTATTTACTGTTACTGTTAGGCGGAAATTCATAATTTTTCTAATCTAGTTTCGATTCTTGTTCTTCTTCAATTTCAAGATTAGGGCACGTTGATAGGGGTAAGAAAATATCTCAAATGAAACACTATTTTAGAAAGAAAGGCTTTTATGACACGCTCCCAAACTAATTTGAATTACCATAAAGCATTAAAATGTATTGATTCCTCTTGATAGCTGCTCTTCTGGCTTCCAGCTGAATCATCTTAAATGCTGTGTGCAAACAATCATTGAAACTATTAGCGGTTGGATAGGGTGTACAGTAACAATACTGTTTTTACTTGGCTCCCTTTCTACGAGTTCTCTGCGGTTTTCTCTTATTCACGCGTAATAAAAATGGCATCAAAGAAATTCTCTCATTATATGTTATATATATATATAGATATATATATACTTATGCACACACTGGATTTATGAAATCCAACTGTTGCTTTGTTATGAAGAAGAGTTAATGTGGGGGAGTAAATATATACGATGGCTTGTGCATGTATGTATTGGTGTGTCTTAAACTGTTAAGTGGTTGCTTTAAAAATTTCTGAAACATTGGCGGGAGCATGCACTGCCTGAAATGCCTATCAGTAAAGTAAATGCGGAGTACGAGGCAATGGGTAATAAATGACAAAAGGAAAAACACGCGTATACAAATATACGTAACGCATAAAGGCATATGCTAAGATTTCTCTGTCTGTCTTTCTCTCTTTCTCTCTCTCTCTCTCTCTCTCTCTCCCTTTCTCCCTCTCTTTGTGGTAATTTATTTAGAAAACAGAAAAATTTTCATTAGTATTTTAGAAGACTTAGAAGGTTTGAGCGAATAAAATAAAAAATTACAAAAACTTTTTTCAAATCGAAATAGTTTAAAAATAAATTTGTATATAAACGCACACATTTTTTTTCTTTTTTTTTATTGACTGTAAATATATATATATATATATATATATATATATATAAATGTGTGTGTGTGTGTGTGTTCAAATGCAAATGTTTATTTTATGTTCCTGTTTTTTTTTTTTTTTTTTCTGATTTTTGCTTTCTCGAAGCATTCAACTTGTAGCTCAATGACTTTAACCTTAAAATGAATACGTCATCAGCTTTAGTACACGTGCTTCTTTCAAATGTTCTCAAGGCAATGTTTTGTAGATAAATGCATATGCATGTATGTTTAATAAATATGTACCTTCTCTTCTCTATCATGTAAATAAATGTTTATTTACTTAGTTCGGTTAATTAAAACCAAAATCATTGTCATAATAATTAATTGAATGCTGCTTATATATTTTATATAAGTATATAAGCCTAGTACTATATATACATATGCTGCTGCGCATATGACATTTGTCCAATAATCGGCTAATTACTCAAATTTCAAAAATTAATTGTTTTGCATTCTAACAGTCACAGGCTTTACACATTGACCATCAGCGATTTTTTCTTTTTTTTTTTTGTTTTTTTCGCTTAGGCAAAATCATTAATTTACCCAAATGAACGCTTCCGATTCGAACAGAAAAATTATGCTGTTTAACAAGTAGTCAAGTAGCATTCATTTTTGTGAATTTACAAAACCCTTTTATGTTACAATTCGTCATCAAGTTAATTCCGGGTGTTTAAGGTTGTAATTCTTGTTCAATATTTCTTTCTGTTCTTTTTTTTTTTTTTTCTTTAGACGAGATTACAAGCCTGTTAAATATACAAACATGTAGTAGTTACTGTCTCTTTTGCATTGCGTTGATTTGACTCATTAGTTTGGTTTCATTTTTTTATACGGACACAAAATATATACATATATATATATATATATACATAGGCTTGTAATGTGTACGCAATTCAGATTATGACTGACAACCAATGACGGGCGGGCTATCACTACTACCAAAGTTATCATTCTCGTTGTCATCATTATGATCATTACAATTACCATTAATTGAATGAAGTCAAAGTCTCAATAGTTTTACTTGCGTTTACATTCTCCTAACTACCATTACTCACGATAGTAATTATGCTGATGATAAAGATGAAGATGAAGATGCCGTCATCGGCATAACGGCAGCGTTAATGTTGACTTTATTCAATTATAGACTCTAAGATCGAAACAGATTACAAACGAGCATAAGACATTCGTCTAGATGTAGTAAATACTGTGCAGTCAGTCAAGTCTGTAATTTGTTATAATAATTTAAACCCTTGGTTTTTGTTATACATTATTATATCTTATACGAAATGCTAAGTACAGTTCTGCTCATTTGTTTCTTAAAGTTAACAAAGAAATATTAAAATGTTCTAATGTCGATATCCACTGTGCTCCAAACTCCGCTCTCTAAGTACGCATTTTAAATGCTTCTGGCGAATACTTAAGCTAATGTGGATGATTCAGTTGCCAAATGGATTAACTACATTTTTGGGATTTTATTAAACTTTAATATCAAAGCGCTTCATTAGCTCCTAACTGCACACATTCAAAACGAGTTGCTCTAATAATAAGTATTAACACCACTCAATGACAAAATCGTTTTGGCCACTGAATAATAAATAATTTATTTATAATATTTTATCATTTTTCTCAACTTCTTGTTTTATGGAGTTGTTCGATTTAACAGCTGAAGCATCCATGTACGTTATAAGTTGGTGATAAATATAGTGAAATATCTCGTGCCCATCTATTAGAAATACGTTAATGAACGAATTGTGCCTGTTTTGTCAAATACAAAGTTCAACCAGGAGATTTAGGTTATGTAGGAGTCTGAGAATTGCTACAACGGGAAACCGATGGGAAGCAAAAGTGACGGACGAATTAATCAAAAATTTTATGCAGGTAAAAAATATGTTACATCTTTAGATACTTCAGGGTGTTGTGAAAAAAATTAAACCATTTTATGTATA